ACTAGGCAGAAATAATCACAATAATAAGACGATATGTCAAGTACAACACCTGCATCCCTACCTCCAAGGTCAACGTCACACTTAGAGGTCAAAGGTTAACAGAGTCTGTTATATAGTATATTTTGCGTCCCGTCCATTACTTCTTCATAGATCAAGGGATTTTAATAATACATGTACTTGGCACAAATAGTCACAGTGATAAGATGATATGTCATGCCTAACACTGTGTCCCTACCTCTAAGGTCAAAGTCACACTAAGCTGTAAAAGATTTACATGTTTATTTTGTGTCCAGTCCATTACTTTTTAATAGATCAGGGGATTTTAAAAATACTTTGCACAAATAATCACAATAATCAGAATATATGTCAGGCGCAAAACATGGGTCCCTACCTCCAAGGGCACACTTAGAGGTCAAAGATTAATATAGTCTGTTACAGGGTATATTTTTTGTCCGATCTATAACTTCTTCATAGTTCAAGGGATTTTGAAAATACTTGGCACAAATAGATACAATAATAAGACGATATGCCATGTACAACACCTGCACCCCTACCTCCAAGTTTAAGGACACACTTAGAGGTCAAAGTATAACATGATAGATTTTTAAATTCCGTGTTTCATTTTATTTCTTTAATAAATGTCTTGTTGCATTTGCAGATCAAGCATTAATCATAGTTTTGTACTGAATGTCCTGAGATCCATACCTCAATCTTTTGAAATAGCACAATTTTTGCTTCATATAAAAATTCCCCGGGGCGGGGGACGTTGGTAACTCTGTTACAAGTTTTCTTGTTTATGTATTTATAACAACGTTATTATGATTGCTTAATTTGCATTTACTTAAATAATGAAATCTGAAAACGTATAAATATTATTATATATTTTAGTGCAAAATGCACGTTTCGTTCACTGAATGATGTCCAGGTTGTGAATGCACAACGTTTTCAAAACAGTCTATTGAAGATATCATTAAAACATATTTTTTGATTGGTCGTGAAGCGGTCTAAAGTATGTGGCCCTTAATTCGACACTAAGTCATCAAACTAGTATATAAGAACATTTGTAACAGGCTTAATAAAGGGATACAAATGCTGAAAGCAGGAATAAAACAGCAGCTTCTGCGCTCAGAAATTTGAAAATTTACAACACGCATCTTTTTTTTGATTATATAATAACAGTTAGCGCATGAAGCTATTAGCGTATATCTTTACACCTCCCTTATGTTTAATTCACCTCGGCATTCGGCTTCGATGAACATACATTAGCGAAGTCCATACATCATAAGCATACAATAATTGAATCATATTTGTCAGTAGAATTGTACACAAGTTTTCTATTGGATGACACAATAAAACGCTAATGATTTTATTATGAGTTACTCCCTAAACAATTCTAACAGTAATATGAAATAAATGTCACTGTACATACTTAACGATTTTGATATAGGAAATTGCTGTATTATAAATCCGTTATAAATATTCCTGACAGGTTATGTGACCTAGCGGCTTTGGTAATATTTCCAAACAGCCGTTAATAAAAGACCATATCACTTGTCAAACTATTTATAACTAATATTATACTAATTTGAATTTCAAGTATTTTGATTTAAATGAAATTAAAAAAAAATATTTAACGATAAAAGTCATACGATTAAAAAATCAGCAGATGTTAAGTGCTAATAATTCATAAACATGAAGTACGTACATGGTGTTGCGAGTTCAATCATGGCACGTTCAAATGTAACCGAGTGGTAAACAGGGTAAACATATACAGTGTAGGAATGCTTTGGATATAGTTTCGGTATAGTATATCTTGAAGCTCTGATCTTCTCTCTTTTATCGACCTCTTGTCCCTCCTGAAGAATAATTTCACATCAGTGTCAATATTTGTTTTTGCACAGCTGTTATATAGTTATTGTTTTAACAGAACAAGAAAGAAACTGAACGAAGAATCGCTAATTTTATGTGTCAATAATGTTAGTAAAGACATTTATCTCTGAATAAATCAAACTTACATATAACGTATATATCCAATACGAGTTACATATCTTATTCATTTTACATTGCAATTTTCTTAAATAACTATCATCTTATTTTTACAAAATTAAAAAGCTTAGGGATTACAAAAAATATACCTACTATACACCATTTAACAATAAAATAAAAATTGTCTGATTCGTTTAAGTGCTCTTGTATATCAAAGTCTTTAACTGTCCATGTTATGTTGCATTCTACACATGACTGTCCTGGCTTATAACAAAAATCTCCTAGGCACACTTGTACTTTTGGAATAAAATAAACATTTATTTAAGTTTAAATGTATATGTAAATTGATTTAATTTCCAGTTATATGAAATATAGAAACTGTAGATAAAAATAAATGATAATGAAAAACAATTAGAACATTTACCAGCTGGTGTCTCAATTTGCTTTTCAAAAGCTCTATTAGTCTGTCCGTAGTAAGCGTTTATAAACCAGGAAAATGGAAACATTATATTTTGTTTGTGAATTTAGTACGATGAATCATATTTTAGAGTTGCTAAAATATTAACGCAAAACAAAAAACGGAATGATTTCTTACAAGGCGTCGTTGTTATGTTCTCTGCAAACAGAAGACTGTTTGTTCCATCGTCTATGGCAAATACTTCAATTTTATACGTTTTCTTAGGCATGCGACCTTTTATCGTACTTTTGGTTTTGCCCGTGTTTTCTTCCGTAACCTGAAACAAAAATGTTCTGTAATCCTCGGGAATCAGCGCAAAAAAGTATTGAACATGCAAAAAAGTTCTCACTCAGATCAGCGTTCTTCAACGTTTAAATCTCAAACGCTAAAGAATATTTAAAATTGAAAATTGAACGTTTTACTACTTTTCGCCGAGCGTTGCACACGTTCGGCTATCGTTAGTCAGTTGTTACTCATTCGCCTTTGGTTGTTAATAATCGTTTGCTTTGCAAGGAACGACTAACTGGCGACTCATTCGCGGCCTTTCAACGACTGCTGAACGGTCTTCAGGCGCACAAAACGTGTGACTAAAGGTAAACAAATGTCTTTCTGGCGTCCGTTGAGCGTCATTTGAGCGTCATTCGATCGTTTCACGAACGTCTATGCATATGTAAAAGGCAATGTTCATTCAGTAGACTATATATGTTTGCTATAGCCAAGCACCAAGTAGATGTACTGAACTTAAACATATCTGACCATATCGAGGGAATTCATCAAAAGAGAAGACCCCGACAAAGACGACAGTTTTGTTTCAATCATGAATATAAAGACGTCAAGGATTTGGAAATACAAAATGTAGCTAGTAGGAGCCCTCACCCCAATATTTTTGTCTTGGTGTCATGATGCTGACTTTTAAAACTCACAAGAACAATTTAATTCAATATGAAATTCCAAGCGTTCTGTACCCGTTTAGCCGTAAAAATAACACGCCATCAAGACGCTATTCTGTCGTTATTGTCGCGTTAGTCACACGTTCACAAAGCTAAACAGGCGTTGACAAGTAGTTCGTCCCGCGCTAGTTGCACGTTTGCATTGGCTTATGGGTTTCCGACGTATCTTATATGGTCGCAGTTACACGCTTCCCGTTCGTTAGACACACACTAGTTAAGCGTTAGACATACGTTAATCATACGCTAGATGTGTCAACCACATTCAAGAGCGTTCAAAAATTGAACGATTAAAACCTTCAGCAATTTTAACTTACTCAAATATATTTCATTAAAATTATAGAAATATTGAAGAAGAAAAAACATTGACTTTTTTAATCACAATTACAAAATTACAATTAAGAGCATAATCAATGCGGTTATTAATCTTCAAAAATGGAACACTGTAAAACGTATATGTTCCTAAATGAACATGTCGAATTTCGGTAAGTGAACACCTAACATCTCAGTAGGCACTTACATTTATAAATACTGATTTAATATGCAAAAATATCTGAAAATCATATACATGTATATCAAGTGAACACATCAAGATCATGCAATATATTTGGCACTTATTGAACATTATAACTGAGTGTATCGGATAAGTTCGCTTTTAAGTGTGTTATTTTTCATATTTCCATATGCATAAATAAATTTTCAGCATCGTGAACTTTATTTGTAGTTTTGTTATTTTCAAACGTTATTACTTAGTAAGTTATTGTGTGGAACAAAATAAATAAGTCCAAACGTAAACAAACTGTTTACTTTGTATTTTATTGTACCTAGCAAAGGATTTCATCGTTGAAAAAATAAATAAAAAACGAACCAATGAGGTGGTATAATGGTATAAATAAAGTTTTACCTCCTCATTGCATGTGACTTTGTATTTCATTTGCGGGTTAGTAATGCAATCAGGTTTAGTCCACCATACATCAATACTTGTTGACTTTGCAACATTTCCTTGATCATTCAGCATACCTTGTCGGAATGAAATAAAATGCAATATTTATATAATGTTTCAATATCTTCAAGGCAAGGTAAGCTAGTATCAATAGTGATTGTAATGATTGTGTTGAACTATCAATGATAATCAAATAACAAATCAGAGTATCAATTTTTTTTTATAAAAGGCACACAACTCGATATACAGAAACTCTTTAACCATATCAAACTGTTGATTTCCAAAAATCGGAAGATGATAGTCATGCACTATTAGAATTGATATTTAAAAGATATAGGCTCAGTAAACATAATAATACCTGTCTCAGTTCTTAACAATTCTTAGCTCAATTAAGTCGTCATTTCATGACAACCAATTTTAAATTTACGGGGTGTGCTTATCTTATTTCCAGCTGTATATAAAATGTCTTTTTGAAACGATAATTTTAATGAAATCAATACTTATTTCTTCTTTAAAAACATATTTTGTACTCTATGTTTGTAAAAGTTCGTTTTAGAGATTTATGTAATAGAAATACTTATATTATGATGTGCTAACAATCATAGCGTACCAAGTTTTCGAGTAATTACAGATCTTCGTTGTGCAAAACTCCTGAAACACCAGAACTTCCTGGATAAACATATCTCATAAATAGCCATAGGATCGAGCGTTTCCAGTGTGCACTGTTTTTCCTTTGTGACATTTTCTTTATTTATATCCGTCTCTTGCCCATGTTTCTGCAAGATTTAAAACAGGACCAATATTACTCATAATAAAGAAAGGTTACAGTCCTCTTGAAAAATAAACCGAATTGAAAATAGTCATTCTTACAATGTATTTGCTTTATACAATACAGACACTTCTTGCTTGTTTCAATAAAAAAAATTTAAATGAAAATATACACACCAATCATATATTATTCATTAGCATTAATATCATATAGAAATATATCATAGCTTGTAAGATAAAAATTATAGCAAAAAAGTGTTTTCAAATTAAGATCAAAGCTAAGTTTCACCTTTAAAGTGTCAAAGTATGAGGACAATAATATATGCATAAATTTAAAAAGTAGCCATTTATAGCCCCCAAAAAACAACAAACAAACAAATAAAACTAAAAAAACCCAAAACAAAATAAAACAAAAACAAAAAAACCCAATAACTGTAAAACATAGCGAACAAAGTTATAGCCGTTATAAGCCAAACTCGAGCTAAATTTAATCATTTGACATCTATAAGGTCAGTGTCATTTATGAGTCAAGGTCAGTTTTGCATTATGTTCATTGTTTCGCTGTCAAGTTGAGCTAAATTCGTAAATCAAACAAGAGCCATGTCAACATGGCCACCCCCCCCCCCCGCCAAATTGGTTTGCTCATTGGAAGAATGTATTTGTAGTAGAGCAGAATAATTCAATTTTAAGAGGTATTTTGGTAATGAAAACTAATGGCTGAAGTGATTACAGATTTGAAACCAATGTGAATACCGGTGGCTGAAAATAACAAAGGGCAGTAACTGAAAAATAATGCAGGGTAGGTTATCATTCTTGTGTGCCGCACCCCTCTGAAAAAAATCTATCCACATATGAAGTTTCAAGTTGATACCACAAATACTTTTTGAGATAAGCTCCAGACAAAATAGTATAAAAAAGAACAAAGTGCAATAACTCAAAAAAAAACTTATATAGGGAAAAGTTATCATTTGAGCGCACAGCATTCCTCCTCAATAAGATCTATCCACCTATGACATTTCATGTTGACATCTCAAACACTTTTGTGTTATGCTCCACTCAGGTGAAAAATTAAGTATGAAAAATAACAAAGGGCAATAACTAAACAATTATGAAAGGTAGAGTTATCATTCTTATGCACTGCACACCTCCTGAGTGAGATCTATGCACCTATGAAGTTTCATGTTGATATCTCAAAAGCTTTTTGAGTTATGCTCTGGACAAAACATAATTTTGAAAAATAACAAAGGACAATAACTAAAATATTTGCAGGGTAGAGTTATCATTCTTGTGCACTGCACTACTTCTCAATGAGGTCTATCCACCTATGAAGTTTCAAGTTGATACCTCAAATACTTTTGAGATATGCTCCGGACAAAAATGTCGGACGGAAGGACGGAAGTTCTAACAGGAGAGTAATTATGTGGCTACTCTATTGTTCTCTCTATTGTTCTTTTTAGCCACACAAAAGAAAATAGCCACATAAAAGCATTACGGAATGAATGACATCAAAGAGAGAGAACAGTTACCTATTGTTCCTCTAGCCACATAATTACTCTCCTGTGAGTGCGAACGGACGGAAGGACGGAGGACAGACAGAGACTATTTCTATATCCCCGGCCGCCTTTTCGGCGGGGGATATTTAAGATAAAAAAGTAGAAGAGTCTTCCAAAATATTCTTAGTTTAAGGGTAACTGACCATAATGTTATAATGGCAAGTTTTTTGATAAAATAATAATAAAAAAATAACAAAAAACCTCAATTACAAAAAGTCTGACCCATCACCGTTACATATTGAACGATATTTCCGTTTGTAACATGGACTATCGATAATTTATTTAATAGTAAACATCTAAAAAATATCATAATTTTGGCAAAATGTAATGCTATTTTTATCATCATCTGTTCAGCGACTATTTACACTTTGATAGTTATAATGCCATTTTAATTATCTTAATGATATTGTCTTACATATAGCTGTGTCTCGGTATGAAGTCAATCTACTCATAAATAACAAACTAACGAGCAAGTTTGAGCATAACTCAATCCCATTTAAAATATATTTGGTATTGAAGGTAAAATCATTAAGGCGTGATTGTCAAGTTCAGTCTGCTTCAATTGGTCTTGTCCAAAGATTTGTTGTATCTATTTTTGAAAGCAATCAATTAAGAAATAAGAACATACCAGACATGTTCGGATGGCAACGGGATGAGCATCATCAACGCCAACACGATTGTAGCAAAAGCTTGGCATTTTTCTTCAAAACAATCTTGCTTTAAATTGCTCTTCAGGTAAAACACTGAGCACTTCTTCTATTCATATTTACATTTTTAAGTCTATCTTTAAGGTGTTTTCGAAAAAAATGCTGTCGTTAAAAAGTACGAAAATGATGATTTAATGGCTCCGCCTGTTTATTTGTTAAGATTTAGGGAAAATAAGTTGTCTTGCCTAAGACTTTTAATGCAGATGGTCAGATTTAGCAAAGGGAGACAGATTAGAAACCAATCGCAACTTTTCGGTCATAAGTCTTCGGATAAGGACCGCCAAAAGAAAAGTATGAATACACAGAACGGATACGGCATTTCGGTCTAACATACGCTATGAAACTTAACATGTAAACAAATAGTTAATTAATGCTGGAATTAGTTGACAAGTGTTTTCCCAGTATATCACTTACAAGTCCAAATAAAACATATGAATTATAAGATACAAAAGCAAACAATAAATTATTTATATAGTTTTATTATGGCTGTAGAAAACGAACGTTTAAAATGCTAACGTGTTGACATTAAGTCAGATTTGTTTAACATTGATCATTTAAAGGCAAGTTTAAATAAAAATGGTTGTCAGACATATTTTCAATAATAATTGTATTGATACAGACTCAAATACAAGCATTCTTTTACATTATGGAAGATTACACTCTCTATTTCTGTTTACATATGAAACCATGTGGTAGGACTACATTCAATCAGTATTAACTCCGGGGTTATTATAGATAAAAGCCGAGGATGTTCCGATTGATTAAAAACTAGAAATAAAGTGAATTTGACATCTATTAACTTTTTTATAAGATATAAGTAAGTCAAATGCTAATTTTTAAGCTATTCTCTGGACAAAAAAGAGGGAACTGAACGAAAAAAATGATGAGTAAAAGAATGGTTCTTGATAGAGTTATGGGAGGGAGATACGGAATGACACGGACAGAAGGAGACTATTGTCATATCCGTACCACATTTGCGGCGGAACAGAATAAACTTACCGGCTTACGAACGATGCTATATCCAAAAATCCTTTGACAACAACAACAACAATTAAGACAATCTGTCCATTCTAAATGCATTTTTGTGTCCTCTAGTTTAATATTTGTTAGTTTTTGTCGAACTGAAAAATGAAATAAAAAGTTTTTTTCTGTTTGTGCTTTGACTTAAGCGCACTCTTTTTTAACTGTTCATTATATTCTTATAAAATGCATTTTTGTTCAGTCTTGTTTTATTTTTAATAGAAGATCATATTTGCATTCACATTTTCAAGAGCAAAAATTGATTTTGATATTATGTCAAAGGTGAAAAAATGCAAGCTGGTTGTTATTTACAAGTTTATTATTTTATTATCAAATTATTATTCTGTTTCAAATTTCGTTTGGGCTAACCAACAACTAAATGTTCTTGATCAATATTGGATCAGTTCGGACTAGATAAATCGAATGTCAAGCTAAACATTTACCCATATATGGCCTTACTTGTACTGATACAATAACACATGAACATAAATATGTTTCTTCTTTACTTGAAAAAGTGCCATATCCATGATGACGCAAGCGATCGAGCATTAAAAATATAGTTAGCACTATTTTGTTTTTATCGGACAGCTAAAATTAGCGGCGTGAAACCGCAAAGTTAAATTTACAAAACTGCAATAAATCTAAGCTGTTTATGCATTTTACAAGCTCTTTACAAATTGTGTGATTAAAAACAATATGATAACGATCTTTTTATTCTAGGAAAGTGCCGAAAATATAAGAATAAGAAAGAGAATATTTGATTAGTTCAGTGTAAAATCGGGATATATTTCACCGAGTGAGCACCAAAAGGTATATTTCACCAGTGGCGCAGCTACAAGTAAAATATGAACTGTTGGTGTTCACGAGGTGAAAAATATTTTGATCTTACACATAACTAAACAATTTTCTTTTTATTATATGCAAAGAAACGTTTAAAAAGATATTTAGCATAATGCTAAATGAAAAGCGCGCCAAATTACAATACAACGCGACGTCATTTACGACGTCTCGTCATTAAGTTGGTTTCCAATATTGTGCACACTGGTATTTCACTGAAACAACGTAAGGGGCTTAAATTCAAAACAGTGAAATTATCAATTTTATATTTCACTGATATGTTTCTATAAACCACTGAAAAGCATGTAATATACACAATAATTCGGACCTCATAGCATAATAGAGATCTCAAAATGAGCTTTAAAAATTGAAGGGTCCTTAGCCTTCAGTTCATTAAATGTTTGACTGACAGATCATCGCTTGTACTATTTTTTAATCATCATTGAAGTAGTGTGAAAACTTAAACGATATGAATTTATCATGGATAATTTGTTGATTACAAAACATGTGTTATTAAGATAATCAACATTTTCTAAAATATTGGAGTACACATAAGGATTTAAGAAGACAAAATACCAACATTTCGAATTCTTGTCTGTTCTGCTGACACAGGTTTAAATATTGCAGGACTGGTGTAAATGCACGAAGAAAATGCAGTTACCCTTTAGTATAAATACTACGGAGTTGTATTTATAATTTAGAAAACAACTAATATGATAACAGAACTAATGCCTGTGTGCTATGACAAAAGGTGGAGGAGAACTATATATTTTAGCTACGCATTTCTTTTTGTATCTAAAAGCTTCCGGTATCTTTTTTTTGCCACACCAATTTTGGGTAGATTCTTTTCCTTCTTTATAAAGATAAAAACTATTTTAAATTATTATACTAACAAAATGGTTTATATATACTCAAATAAGTATTTCGAATAACTGACACAAACGGAATAAACACATTTATTTAAGCTCGATTGCGGAACAAGTTCTTGCAACTTACATTAATCACTTTCGAGTCCGCTTCCTGGAACCCACCGGTACTGGTGTCATATGAAGAAACATGGTCGTGACCCGAGTAGGGCTCGAACCCATGATCTTTGGGTTGAGAGGCAGGCATCATAACTACTAGGACCCCGCTCACCTTAACATAGGGGACATAACATTATTGAAATTCTGTTTGAACAATTTTTTTATTATTACTATTTTTCTTTAATAAAATTCTTTTCGGGTATGTTCATGTGTTGTTCTGGCTATACCGCTAATATGCAAATATAATTAAAACGCATTCAGTCAACTTAACCAGCTTTCTTTGAGAACTAACCAGTAACTACCATATAATATGCAAGTGACCGACTACTTATCGCACAATGATTTAAGAATTAGAGGTGAGACACAAATGAAAGATATACTAAGTACCCGAGATTTATTGTCACATAGAAATGTTGTCTAGCGTAAGTATAGAATCAGCAACCCCTAATGATTTTTAAACATTCAGCATATTGAGCTTAGTAGGCGGCTTGAAATTGCTTTTAGATAATCATTCAAAAAATATTGTTTTTATCCGATAAACCTTCATTGAACACGATTTCCCTTATTATCATCTTTGCATCAGTATTCAGGGTTGGACAGCGAAACAGACAAGGACAAATCACAACGTACCACCCTCTACTTAAGTAGGGCATTACAGAAAACCGTATTTCATATTGCACAGTGTTTTATGTGAAACCAGTCTATGTGCTTTAGAATGATTTCTGAGATAATGGTGGTCGTAATATTTACATCAAAAACTGTTTCTAATGCGTATCGATTCTATTTTCAATGTTTTATTTTTTTCAAAATTAGTTAATATTTTAAAAACATAAATTATGCAAAACAGCAAATATTTGTTAAACGCAAATACAAATTAAAACTAGAATAACAATTTTTTTAAAGTCATGATTTTTAAATTATGTTAAAAATTGGGTTTGTGTGACATAGAACTATTACTTTTGGACTATTACTTATGAATGAAATTTATGTAAAAGTTTTTCATCTTTTGGAATAAGAGTTATTATGTTATTAACATGCTCGTCATTTTAGTTTGAATAATATATAAGTAACCAAGGCACTTTTTACAACTATCGATGTAATGTGTCCTACTCTTACAACTGTACTTTTGAAGGGAAGGGCATGGTTGTGGTATTAAGCCTTTGACTGGTCAATGAAGTGGTTTTGTTTCAAGGTCAACAAAATTCATCATATCAGTTTACTTTTTTGAAATCATTGAACATAATTATACCGAACCAAGCAAAACTTATATGTATTTTTTTTCTAATCAGAAAAGCCCTTGTTTTCTCTGTAAACAAGAAATTTATTTGGATATAAATATGCTTAAGCAAATAGATAGTTTGACATATTCACATTATTTTAATTTTTATTTCAAAGATACAGTAATGCATTTGCAATGTACCATTTTGTGTTCGTTTTGTACGTCAATTGCGGTTATTTTTTATTTTGGACTATTCCATACTTGAAGTCTATTCGATTTTTACTCAATTCAATATTAATCAACATTTGAGCGCTTTCTGCCAAACATTTTTCCCTTGTATAACGTTTGTACTAATTACTAAGTCTTATTATTTTTTGAAATACAAATAGAAATAATCAAACGAAATAGACGTTCTATTATCTTTTTATTCTTAGAAGATTGGTAATTAATTAATAAATTCAAATGCACTGTACTTGATGAAATTCGTTTAAATTTTCATAGAAGATACATTCATTTCATTCATATTACCATTTTAACGTAAATTGCAATTTAAATTAAATGAAATTAAGAATTAAGATACAAAAATACGAACATTTCTACAATTTCCAAAAATATGTATGAAGCTGTTTTTAATTACATATTTAACCTTGTCCCTGACGAATGATTTTGAAATATTAGTATTTTTTGCTCTGATTATTTGCTGAGCTTGGCTTTGTAAGAATATAACTTTGGATAGAACATCACGTCTTATTAAAACTTAATTATATTCGATTGAACATTAGACTAAGGTAAATTGTCGACATATAAACAAATAACACATTATTGAAATTTACAATAAAGTAATGAACTTCAAAGATGATTTTCTCTTGAAGTTAACTTATTTTACAAAGATATAAGAAAATGTAACACTTTTACCTAATACGGGGGATCATCAGATATCTGGTTCTCTATCTATTAAGTAGAGACGAACTGGTCGCCCGACAAACTGACCGAAATCTGACCGACATTAGCAATATATCCCCTTTCTAAGTAAAGGAGACAAATCCAAAACAGGCAACATTATATGACATTAACTTTACATTGTATCTAAAAAGATAAATAGCTGAAGAACAAAACTTACCGCAGGTCAGAGTGATTATAACGATTATAACGATTATAAAGAGTATAGCATTGACAACTCCAAGGGCAATGAGTCCATTTCCCAATTTATTGTTCGCAAGCCTATCACTTTCACTCGGTTTATTCACTGAAATCGATAAGAAAGAAAGATCGTAATAGTCGGGAAAAATTGATCATTGGCCTTAAAAACACTTTCTTTACCTTGATATATAACATATTCTTCAATATAATACACATATAAGCTTTCTAAATACTACGAATACAGATTTTTTATATAAAATATCTGGGAAATAAAACACAAAAGTGGTTTGCATATAAAAGATAGCAATGGTAGTCTACAAGGTAAACAGACAAGCTCCGATGGGTTCTAAAACAACAGTTCATAATGTTAAAATGATATCTAATAATGTATTACATTATTAAGCCCGTTATTTAAAATTTATAGATTATAACAAGAGGTGATAATTTTGCATGAGATAATCATGATTTAAAAAAATATATGAGAAATAAGAGGCTGTGGAGGGACTCTTTCTTCTAGAGTTATCTTGCCAACAGAGTGAAGTTTCATCATTCAGGTCAACTTCAGAAGGAAATAACTTCAAATCAAGCGTTTTTTTAGATATGATTACGCGAATTGTCAGATCCTTTCCTTGTAAAAAACACTCCAGATAAAAACAATATTCTGATCAAGACACTTTTACAATAGCCTTATTTAACCTCAAAATGCAAAATAATTGGAGTGCGCCATTGTCACATTAAATTACATACGTTACAAACATAATATACCTATAACTTAGAGTTGCACTATGTGTTATCAGTTTCAATTTACGATCTGCCGAGTCTTTATTGTTTAAAATGTTGGTGTGTATTAACGTTAACATACGTATGCATTTTGCTATCTTACACCTCCCAGTACTTAAGGGTTTTTATACTTATAGGTAGTGTCACATATTGACATACGGAGAGTTGTTAGAGATACAGAGTGACGGGACATTTTGCAATTTTTATTTCCCACTAAATTCATTCGAGCATCGCCTAATTATAGATATAACATGCAAATAAGAAACGAAAAAGGTCAGAAAAAATTAAGACAACATGCTCCAATTTCAGCTGTCAGAGCATCATTTGGGATCGGTCAACCTCTAGATGAGGATTCTTATTTAGCGGATGATTTCTACTTGCTGTTGTGGTTCAAAAAGCTACTGATTTTCAATCTTCTCCAAATCCTTGATTAAGTCATTGATTAGCCGTGTTGTCATGTCTTTGTTTATGAGCGCAATACGCAATATATTGTCCACAGGCACATCACCTCTTGATATTTAACAAAGAAGAGCGGGTTACTGAGCCAAAATTCAGCCAGAATATCCTGATGTACCCCTCGACCCCATCAATTGCATCAATCAAATTCTGCTAAGTTCTTAATTGCTAAAATGCGCGAGACGACCAACAGTGGTTTTTAATTCAGTGTGAGTACCCTTAAAAGTGGTCTATATAACGTATGTTGGATTATTATAAAATGTACATTTGTTCTCTCTCTGTCTCTCTCCCTATCTCTCTATCTGTCTCTGTCTCTCTCTCTCTCTTTTCGCTTTATTGTAAGTCTTGTCATAGTTTTTATTGATGAATGCAACGATTCCAAGGTCACAAAGCAACAGTGGTGAAAAAAGTGACAAACATACAAATTAGGTTAACTGTTTGTTAAACAAGGCACGCAAAGACTGAAAGTGTGGTTTCTGGTACAAAATCTAGTAAATCAAAACAATAGAAGTAGTGTAACATTGCGCATGAATAATACGTGCAGATTATAAATAATTATCGTTTTTTACATAAATAAAGTCCATTTATCATGGAGCAAATAAAGTTAGATGTGTTGAATAGTGTGAATAACCTTAATTTGATGTATTACATGTAATTTTTATTGACCGAATCACCAAAACCAGAATATTTGCCGTTCGTATCTAAAGGAAAAGACATTTACAGCATTAATATTTAAATCTTAAAATAACAAATGCTTCAGCAACTGACCGATAATTATTTTGATATCAGGAAAGTAGCCTTATATGCAAAAAAGTCCAATTTCAACGGTCTTTTTATAACAGCTTATATTCTCAATTTACCTAGGTCTATCAGCCTTTTAATTTTGATCATTGTTTCCCAATAAAATAAAAACACTTATACCCAGATAAATCCATTGCTTAAAGTGGACTGGTATACATTGGGTTCATTTTGCATTATAATGACAATATTGATAGCAAAATGGATATTCTTATAAAACATATATTAGGATTTTAAGTTAAGTATGAACGTATCTTTGATGAAAAAACCGATTTGATCAGGAACAATTTATTATCTGCTTTATGTTGTAATGTAATATCGTATGCTGTTTCTAATAAATTAATATATTAAACAATATCCATAACATAATTATTTCATAGTTTGTTGTAATGTTTGATACTAAATGCCATTAATATACACAATTTACAATGTATATCAGACCTTCTTTTATGGCAAAATTCGTTTTTATAGTAGATTTATTTATTAATTTGCTCAATGAAATTTTTCAATTATTTTAGATCTTTGGTTAGGTACCTGCGAAAAATGTGTAAATTCACAAGCCAAAAAGATTACAACTTTTTCATAGAAATTGCATATATTAAACATTTAAAAAAGGTAAAATTTATTTGAGCTTTGGGAAATATTGCAAAATGTAGCAGATTTTAGGATGTCAACACAACCAAATAGGTATAAATTTGAAAAGGATTTGCTATAACATAAGTGTCAGGGAAGTGATATTTCTCAAAGACAAAGCAACAGTCCCATAACAGTATACTTTGCACATATTTTGTATGGTTATACGTGTTTTGATAACATACGTTTAAAATCTTTTGGCTCTTTACGTAACAGTAGTGGTGTTTCCGTGTATATTAAATCAAACCTGATAACAAAAAATTTCATTTCACGTATATGTACTGACTTTAACAATTGTATAGTTTTTTATATATCAAAAGTTTTTTTGTACGAGGGTTGTTCGGGGAAATCTGGGAATTTTGTCATATCTCCTATATTTTTGTTTCTAAGACGTAATATTTTGCACATACTAAGATTAGAATATCACGGAACTATTCCTAAACATTGAATAGAATCAGACAACAATAGCCGGAAATAGCAGTAACCATAGCAACACTATAACGCCGCACCGGAGCAGTCCGACTCTAAAGAAAGGTATAACGCGCTACAGTAATAATAATTCGTAATTTTGAAAACGTAAAAAATGCGCGAAAACGCTGAACAGCAGCGGAACGTCATGACGTCATTTCCTGAAAATATCATAACGTTATTTAAATTCTCAACGGATCAACATTGTTTTAAAGTTGTTGCCCAGAGCCACTGAGTAAACAACATGACGTCGATAGGTGACGTTGAATTGCGAAGCATCGTGAAATGTTGTGTTGCGCTGGAAACGTCTTCCACCGTAACAATGAAAATGATCAATTCTACAGGAAAATACAAGAAATGCAGTCTGGCCCACAGAGCGAAATCTACCCAGTTAATGCATCGAAATTGCAGGTGACTACGTTGAAAAGGTGCGACGATCGATGGACTTTAACGTCGCATAACGTTGCAAATGACGTCGGGTGTTTGTTATATGGTTATTTACTATTTATATTATGTTTTAGTTTCTGTGTGTATGATGATGATATTTTCAGATACTGTACAGTATATATTGAAATAAATGCGTATATATTTATATTTACGCTAACCCGACTACAACGTGTGCTATAAAACAATTCTTAGAACTTTCCGAACAACCCTCGTATAGATCCATGCAAGATATTTTTTTATACATTGGTTTTGTTGCTCCTGAAGGGTCAAATATTTATGACAAAAAGTCCGAAACAAATGGAATTTAAACCATTTAAAGTAATATTGAAATATTAAATAATATGTATCCAAATGTATATCTATACTTAGGTGGCGATTTCAATGCACATACGAAGGATTTGTTAGATTATATTCCACATGATAATTTAGATGTAATATTTAATACAGACGTTGATTATGATTTAGTCTATTTCGAAATTTCTAGAAATAACAAAGATATTGAGAAATATAATTTATTTGGGTAGTCTCTTGTAGAATTATGTTACAAATTTGTGCAAGATTGTCTTTAGAGCGAGGGCAACCATTTGTTAGATATATTAAGAAAAATGAAACCTTTAATGAAGTACATGTTGACAAATATAAATGGAATGATAGGTATATGGCGGATTTCTTACAATTATTTACCGCTGAATATAGTTATATACGAGATAATTTAATTAATGAAATAGATCTAAGTATTAACAATGCGGTTAATCATATCATTAATATTTATAAAAAAATCATCAGCAAATAGGCGCGTAAGATATTTAGCACGAAATAACGTAAATAATAATCAACCCTGGTGGGATCGAGAATGTGAAACAGCTAAAAAGCTTAAATACGCTGCTCTACGACGATTTCGCTGGACTTCAACAATTTGTAGCGCTCCGAAACTGTTTTAAAAAGACGTGCTATATAAAAAGTATCTTTACAAAAAGTCTATGCGCGAATAACTAATTACGTTACGATCAAATTCCATAGCCTTTTGAAAACTGTTAAAATCTAGAAATAGTAATATATTAAATGAACAATCTTTATTGATAGACGGGAGCTTGGTTTGATTATTTTCATGAGTTATTATTTAAGTAACCAACCTAATATACATTGGGACGGACTTTAGAGTTAATACTGATGAGGGAAATCTGTATCTAAATTCTAAAATTTCCTCTGATGAAGTCATCAAAAGTATAAACAAATTGAAATGGGAAAAATCACAGAAAAGTGATGGCATCGGAGCAGAATTCTATAAAAAACGTCGTCATTAATCGCACCTGTCCTTTGTAAATTGTTTCCTAAGATATTTAGTACTGGGGTTTTAACAGACGTTTGGAGGGATAGTATAATAGTACACGTATACAAGTCTGGGCCTCAGAATGACCCTTCTAATTATAGAGGAATTTCCTTAATTAATGTTATGTACTAGTATAAGATATGTTCTAATATTAAATATGATAGGTTATATAATTGGGCTGAGAAATTTGATAAAAAAAGATGAATCCCAAGCCGGATTTGGAACTTGTTACTCTACAATTACGATAATATTTTTACAAAGTATGGTACAGAAATATATTAGTAAACCGAGCGGACGATTTTATGTTCGTTATGTAGATTTTAAAAAAGCATTTGATGGTCTTAAACATTTTGATTTATTCAATACTATAAACAGATGTGGCTTCAGGGGGAATTTATTTCGTGTTCTCCAAACCTGTGTAGATGTGTACAAGTTAGTACTACCAATACTACAGAATATTTTAAATGTAACATAGTTACAAAACAAGGGGACGTAACAAGTACGTTATGTTTAACCTGTTTATAAATAAGTTATCTCCCTTTCTGCGAAATAAGAGACATCGTGGTATATTCATTACGGAATAAAATTCAATTTCAGAATGTTGTTATAATACCGGTATGTCTATAAATGAGAATAAAACTGAAAATATTGTATTTAGGAATGGGGGACCGCTCAGATCATATGAAAAATGGTTATACAACGGCAGTTCAGTAAATGTCACCTCAATGTACAAATATATGGGTCCTTTATTTACACCTAAATTATTTTGGACAAAAGCAAAAACTAAACTTGCTACACAACCAAGGAAATCTATTTATGTTATTAAATCATATCAAAGAAATTTTGGAAAGTTTTTACACTCTGATTATTTTAAATTATTTGACTCTATGGTAAAACCTATACTTACCTATGGTGCCGAAATGTATGGAAGTGAAATCTCCAAATTCTTTAACAAGTTCAAATACAATATTGTAAAGATTTTCTAGGTGTTAATTGTTCTGTTAATAATAATGTTGCACTGGGAGAATGTGGAAGGATGCCTTTATGTATTGATCATCATG